GGCCTGCTCAGCCTGCCCCAGCTCTTCATCTTCTCCCTGCGCGAGGTGCGCCAGGGCTCGGGGGTGCTGGATTGCTGGGCGGATTTCAGGTACCCATGGGGAGCCCAAGCCTACATCACCTGGACCACGCTGTGCATCTTCATCCTGCCCGTCGGCATCCTCACCGTCTGCTACAGCCTCATCTGCTATGAGATCTGCAAGAACCTCAAGGGCAAGACCCAGAGCGGTGCTCCTGGCACAGGGGAGCCCGCGGGGTCTGCCCCTGCTGCTCCCTGCCCTGCTGAGAAGGGTGGGCAGTGCCCCAGCGGGCAGCCCTCGCGGGTGAGCAGCGTGCGAACCATCTCCCGTGCCAAGATCCGCACGGTGAAGATGACCTTCGTCATCGTGGTGGCCTATGTCGCCTGCTGGGCGCCGTTTTTCAGCATGCAGATGTGGTCTGTGTGGGACGAGGATGCTCCCGATGATGGTGAGTAGTGGTGGGGATGTGGGGCTGCAGCCCAGAGCAGGCCCAAAGCCCTGGGTTTGCCCACTGCATTTTTAACTAATAAGAGTTGTTTGGTTTTTGTCATTTTAAAAACCATGGGGAAGGCTGCAGATTTGCTGTGACTGCCAGGAGGGTTTTATCTGTGCCTGCTGCTCCCGTCCATGGAGCGGGCGGGTTCAGCAGGACCCTCGCGGGCAGCACCGAGTGCCCCTGAGGCTTCCACTGAGCTGCAGGGGTTTCAGAAATGGATTTCACAGGTTCACTTTTTCTGGAGCTTTTCAGTAGCTCTCCTATTTTTTTTTTTTATCCAAGATAAAGCCTCTGCAGATGCTTTGCCTAGCAAAGAGGCTGAAGGGAGCTCCAAAAGCTCCTGGTCCCCTCTCCCAGCGGTGTCCGTGAGGGTGGGCTCCAGCATGTCCCCATTACAGGACATCACCCACCGCAACCCTCAGCCAAGAGTAGAGCCCGGCTCTGCCACGCTGCAAACCCTCCTGCCCAAAGAAACACCAGTCAGATGGGGTGGGAATGGGATATGTGTCCAAACCAAAAAGAGCCCCAGGGACCCTGCCCAGCCCGGGGACGTCTCAGCTCTCTCACTTGCCTCCCCAGAGTCCACCAACGTGGCGTTCACCATCACCATGCTGCTGGCCAGCCTCAGCAGCTGCTGCAACCCCTGGATCTACATGTCCTTCAGCGGGCACCTCCTGCAGGACGTGGCCCGGTGCCTGGCCTGCTGGGGCGGCCCCCGGCCCCCGCTGCGCAGACCGGCCTCCACCGGCAGCCTCTGCAGCAGGAAAACCACCATCCTGGGCCACAGCCACCACCCCGGCCCCCCGGGGCTCCCCCTGCATGGGGACGGCGCCGGGGACTGCTGCCCCCGCTGCGAGGAGGGGGTGACCGAGTCGGGCACGCTGTAGGCTGCGGTGTCCCCCAGGGACAGCCCGGCACT